CATCGTCATCAGCATAATCGTCATCAACAACATCATCATCATCATCATCATAATCATGATCAGCATCATCCTCATCGTCATCATCATCCTAAGCAGCAGCGTTCTACTCCTCATCAGCATGACCATCATCATGATCATCATCATCATCATCATCATCATCATCATCATCATCATCATCATGATCATCATCATCATCATCATCATCATCATCATCATCATCATCATCATCATCATTAGCAGCATCATCATTACCATCATCATCACCATCATCACCATCATCATTTGCATCGTCATCGTCACCACCATCATCACCATCATCACCATCACCCTCAGCATCACCATCATCATCATAATTATCAGCATTATCATCATCGCCATCGTAATCATCAGCATCATCAGCATCATCAGTATCATCAGCATCATCAGTATCATCAGCATCATCAGCACCATCGTAGTCATCATCATCAGCATCCTCATCATCATCATCATCATCATCATCATCATCAGCATCATCATCATCATCATCATTTGCATCATCATCATCACCATCACCATTATCATCAGCATCAGCATCAGCATCACCATCGTCATCATCAGCATCATCGTCATCATCATTCTTCCTCTCCTCCCACCTCCCATCCTCCTTCCCCTCCTCCTTCTCCTCCTCCCCCTCCCCCTCCTCTTCCTCCTCCCCTTCATCGGGAAATATCATTGGAGGGAGAGGAGATGGAGGAGAGGGGTGACGACCAGGATGGTGGGGGGGATGAGGATGATGAGGAGGCGGAGGCCGAAGAGAAGAGGCACGAACTGGATGAGGAGGCGGAGGATGAGGAGGAGGGGCCACAGGGAGGAGGGAGGTGAATGGAAGGACTGGTACTCGATGGAAAGGAAAAATTGGCAGAAGGGGGAAGATGGATCAAGGAAAGTGCAGAGTGAAGGGAGGGGGCGAGTGAGAGGCTAGGCGTGCTCGCGCCATGCCTGCCATCCGACCCTTCCCACGAATCCCTTCACACTGCGCTGGGCTCTTCTCTGTCCGTCGACGCGTGCCATGGCGGACCCGGAATCCCCAACAGGACCCCTATCGTGTTCTGCGCCATCGGCAACTCGGATAGGCGGACATTGGAGGAAGAGCTGGCGGATGAGCAGGAGGACGAGACTGGGGAAAAGGAGGAAGATGAGGAAAGAAAAGAGCGAGGACGAACAGCAGCAGCCGGAGTTGGAGTGGACGGAGCGGGAGGAGGAGGAGGAGCAGGGAAGGCGAACGAGGGAAAAGGAGGGGGGGACAACGATGAGGAAGAACTCGGACCCCAAAAACGGGTCCACGCTAGGACGAGAGCGCCACTCTGATCAGGCACATAAGAAAAACAAAATTGAATTCTTGCGCGCGAAAAAAAAAACACGCGCAGGGGGGCGAACCACTCCCCGGCCATCGCATTCAAGGTGGGGGGCGCAACAGTGGAGGGTGTAGAAAGGAGTGGAACGGGAAGGGAAAGGGGGGTGGGGAGAGAAGAGGAGGGGAGGGAAGAGGGCGAGAAGGAGGTGGAGGGGGAGAGGGAGGAGGAGGAACAGTCCAAACCCAAGACGCATGAACGATGTTGCAAAACAACCTCCTCACTTCCCTCTGCATAGGCCCATCTGCGACAGGTGCGGCCCTGTCAATAGAAGGCGGAGGACTCCCTATCTTCCTCCTCTCTCTCTCTCTCGCAGCGCTGCGCAACGATCCCTCGTCCGCGCCGCCGCTGCCGCGCGCACCGCGGGGCGCACAGCGCGCCTCCCGGGACCCTGCTTCCGTCTGAAGGGGGGGGGCGCAGATGGGGTAGGGATCGGGGAAGACAGCGCGCTGCTGCGAAAGACGTAGCTCCTTTCATGTAGCGGTTACATGGGATACCCTTGTCGGTAGCACTGTGGGCGACACAGGAGTAGGCGTAAAGCTCAAGCCGACTGCGCATCATGCCAGTCACGTTGGACTCGGCATGCCTTGTCCCTAGCGGTGTAGTCGAAGCACGGCGGTAGCGAAATGCCTGGCGAACAAAGGACGTATCGCCATGAGGGAATGTCGGCGGCGAGCGAGGGGCCCAAGCGAGAAGGGGCGGGTCTGTTTTGAAGGCTCGGAAGTCCGCCAACCTTTCTTGAGGGCCCCGCGCCGCCGGCTGGCATCCCCCGGGCGAATGCGACGAGCAGACAACAGCTCCTCGACCGAGGTTCACCAGTTCCACCCAGACCGTCTCCATTCGACTGCCTCCCTGTCCAGAAGAGTCTGGCCCAGAACACGTGACTCGCGGTCGTGGAGAAGCACCGAGACCGCGCCAGAAACGCAAAGCAATTGCGAAGCCAAAATATTTCGATGTAGGTTCGGGATGGGTGCAAGAGTAGGTTCGGGAGATAGGTTCGCAAGAAACCAGGTTCCAAGATGAAGGTTCAAAGCGCGCGAAAAAACGTCATCGGATGAATGACCACCCGAAGCTGGGGCTGCCAAAGCGCATCGGCGCAAATGGTGCACTTGGCAAAACGCATCGGGCAAAGTAGGTCTGGCAAGTGCAATTGGGGATGTTTTCTGTCCGCGGCATCGCTGTCAAAAAACAGCCAGGGGAAAAGCCGCCAGGGCGACATTGCTGGCAGGGTCTGCGACAGTTCTCGCGCGATGGAGCACTAAACGTAGACCGTCGGCTGAACGAGAGCAGCTGCCGTGACGACCCCAACAGACTGGACTCGCCCGAAAAAACAACCACGGCACTGAACGGCCAAATAACTCGGCCTAAGCATGTCCAGCAACCGGGACGGCAAACAACATCCTTCAAGGCGTCTTGGACAAGCAAGGCCGCCACCATCATGGTGAGGGCACAGGAAAGGGAAGGGCGAGGATGACGAGGAAGGGGAAGACTGAGGGAGACGGGGTGGAGGAGCAGGTGCAGGAGGCGGGGGGAGGAGGTGGACGATTCAGGGGCACTGCAGCAGGAGGAGGAGGAGAGGGAGGAGGAGGAGGAGGAGGAGGAGGAAGAGGAGAAAGAGGAGAAAGAGGAGGAAGAGGAGAAAGAGGAGAAAGAGGAGAAAGAGGAGAGAGAGGAGGAAGAGGAGAAAGAGGAGAAAGAGGAGAAAGAGGAGAGAGAGAGGAGAAAGAGGAGGAGGAGGAGGAGGAGGAGGAGGAGGAGGAGGAGGAGGAGGAGCGAGGGGTTGGTTCCCGACCCCTGCCCGCGAGCGGGGGGGCTGCCAGAGGGCCCTGCCCCGTCGCGGCACGCCAGGCCCCGCCGCCCGCCGGCGGAGCCGCGCGCTCGATCCCCCGGGCCCATTCCGGGGAGGAGGGCCGCCCCCGGGGAGACTGCCGCCTCTCGGGGGGGGGGCAGGCTGGGAGTGCATCGGGGTCTGCACCCCCTTCTGGTGAGCGTGGTCCTAGTCGGCGCTTCGGCAGCGGGCGGAAAGAGGGGGGGAGTGGGGGGGGGCCTGGCTCCAGACCTCTGCTCGGGTGCGGCCGCTTGCAGGAGCGCGCGTCCCATGCGGGAGGCGCTGCCTGCTCGAAACAGGCGCAAAAAAAGCAGCCAAGATCTGCTCCACAGGGGGGGTGCGAGGGCCCGCGCCGATCGGCAAACGAACTAACATGAAACCGCTCACCTGGGGGTACTTCGCAGAACTGTTCTGCCCACCCCTCCTCCCCCCGGGGCGACTTCTGGGAAAAACTGCGGCAAACGTGTGCTGATGTATCAAGGAACCGCACCCCCAAAGTAGGTCACAACGTTGGTTTGCAGAATTTTGTTCTGTAACGTAGGCCCCAGAGAAGGTTTCTGGAATCCAAAAAAAAGTATTGGGGGCCCCAAAATAGGCTTCGGGCGCCCCAGAATAGGCTTTGGGATCCCGCAAGTAGGTTTCGGGAGGCCACAGTAGGTTCAAATCTACTTTAAACCTACTTCAAGCTTACTTCGAACCTACTTTAAATCTACGTTAAACCTACTTCAGACAGACTTCGAACCTACTTCAAATTTTCTCTGGACGTATGGAGGGCGAGGGACTTAAGGTAGGAGGGGGAGGAGGAGGAGGAGGAGGAGGAGGAGGAGGAGGAGGAGAGGACAAGAAGGGGGAACATGATGAGGAGGAGGATCAGAAGGGAGAATGACGACTAGGACGAGGATGGGGATCAGGAGAAGGATGGGGATCAGGAGGAGGATCAGGAGGAGGATGAGGAAAGGATGATAGGGGAGGATTAGGTTGAGGAACTAGGAGCAGGAGAAGAATGAGGAGGAGGAGGAGGAGGTGAAGGGGGAGGAGGACGGGGGAGATCAGGAGGAGGAGGAGGCTGAGAGTTTCCGATGGCTGTGGAAGCCCCAAGATAAGCCCCAGAGGGCCCAAGAGAGCCCAGGAGGGCGCGTCTCACGATTTACTCGGCAGATTTGCCGGCAGAGGCTGCGCCTTGCCGGCTGCGTTCCAACGCTTCCCCGGGAAACTGATTTGCAAACTTCAAATACGGACCCGATCCCGAAAGTTAATTGTGACAATGCGCTCCGGACATGCTTCCTTCGACAGCTACTTCGGCGAATTGATTTCGCCATCCTTTCTCGGAAGCTGGGCGAGGGCTGGCAAATCCGTGGCTGCTCAAGCGGTCTTCCCGGAAGAGAAAAAACAGATTCCCGGGGACCAAAAAAAAACGCAGCGCACGAACTCATGAACGGGCTGCTTCCCGGAAGAAACAGACAAGTTCCCGGAGCTCCGATTCACCAGCCATGGATTTGCCAGCCTTCGCCAGGCTTCCGACTTTCCCCTGAAGGCTACTTGCGGCAGGCGGCAGCCGGGCTCGCAGCCCTTCCCCTGGGAGCTACCTGCGCCGACCCCACGTTGCCGTGCGGGCTGCGGACCTGCTCCGCCGACCTGCTTTGGACATCGGACATCGGACATCGGCCTGCAGTCGAGGCGCCGCGGGGGCGCTGCAGGTGGGCGCCGGGGCGCCGCCATGCATGACAATTGACGACGGTGAGACAAGGGACAAGCGAACGAGAGGAAGACAGAGACAGAGAGAGACCAACAGAGGATGGGCAAAGGAGAAATGCAATATGCAATCGTAGATACAACAACTATGCCTGAGACCTGCTTCGGGAGCTGCTCTATTAAACCTGCTTCAACTGTTTTCCGCATCAAACACGCTTTGCATTGAAAGAGCGGTCTCGGGCGAAGCAGGCACAACTCAGGACTGGCTCGCTTTGTGCCTCCACTGGGCGGCTGCATCAAGATCCTGCTCCCCACCGATGCCGCGCTCCAGGTAGAGGGCCAAATTGTTCATCGCCGGGCGGCTTCCGCGCCACGCGGCCTCCTGATCCGGTGGCAACTCATGAGAGCCTCCCATACAGTATTGTCGGCTCTTGCGGATCGACGCTAATCGACGCTAAATCGACGCTAATCGACGCTAAATCGGCGCTAAATCGGCGCTATCTCATCGACTCCAGACGCTAATCGACGCCAAAGACGGAATTCAGAGTACGCCAGGCCCCCACGATTTGCTTCCGAACTCCTGCAGGTTCTGGCGGGACACGGCCATGTCTCCGGCCTCGGCGGCCATGACCGCCAGCTGGTTGTACGCCGCGGGGTGGCCTTGTTCGGCCGCCCTGCTGTACCTTACTACCTGCCAGACCACCCCGACCTGACCAGAAGATCCCCATTTCCGGGCTGGGGGTCAGCACGGGCTCCAGAGGAGTTTCCCCAGTGTTCCCCGACCCCCCCCCCCTGGAAAGGGAGGGCACGTGGAGGCCTTCGGGGCCGTGGGCTGGGGTGGCTTGGTGGGCGGTGAACGCACCAGGCCCAGGCGCCCTGCCTGCCCTCGGCCCCCCTCGCGGCCACGCGGCGCGCCAGGGCGACCTGCGCGTCGGCCCAGCCGCGCTCGTCGGGTCGGGCGAAAGGGGGGGATAGCAAAGGGGAGGTTTGAGAATCAGCTCGCGTAGCTGATTTTCCCGGCGCCTCCCGGCGCCGGAGGCGGCTATGTATCGAGAGAAATGGCCCCCTCGGTGGGGCCGAAACCAGCTGCATGCAGCAAATTTCGTAACCCTCCCTTTCCCACCCCCCCCCTTTCGCCCGACCCGCGCTCGGCGGCCCTCGCCAGCAGCTCCTCGCCGCCCGCGTCGTCCCCGGCCTGCAGCAGCACCAGCGCCGCGCGGTGCTGGCCGCCCGGGTGGCGCTGCCGCGCCGCGGCCTCGTAGAGCTCCGCGGCCCTGCTGCCCCGTGGCGGCACGGCGCCGCCGCTGACGATGAGGGGCCCATGTACCACCACCACTGCCATGAGCAGGAGAGAGGCGGAGGAGGAGGAGGAGGAGGAGGAGGAGGAGGAGGAGGAGGAGGAGGACAAAGAGGGGGATGGGGAGGAGGAGGAGGAGGAGGAGGAGGAGGACACGCACATGGCTTGGGGGTGTTCGATGTCCGCCGCGAGAGAGCGCGGCCGACTATGGAGGGCTTAGTGCCTCCTCTCCCTGGGTCTTGGCACGCTCCTCGCGCACCAACTGGGCCAGGGGAATAGCGGGGGTCTTAAAAACGATCGGGGACGACTTTGTGCCCTTGGGATCTCGACCCTCCTGGACGCGGGCTAGCTGAGTGGCCGCTCCTTGGTGGCTCACTCTAGTGCTGCACGCACTAGCGAGCCCTCGACCCAACCCTTCAGAGAAGGATCCACACTTATGGCAAACCAAGATACTCGTCGGGTGATCCAGGTGCTCGTAGTAAAACAAATCGTGGCCTTTATTATCATGCACAAGATCGGAGAGCTGCTTACAGTGGCCTGGGCAATGCTGGGCCTGTAAGACTCCCCGCTGTTTGAAAGACTTGGTCTGCACTCTACACAGGATGCACCTGTGATACTGGTGAATGAGTGCCCATGCGTGGTACCTGAAGGGCTCTCTGGGCTCCTCTTGGGGCACAGGCGGAGGCGGAGGGGGGGGAGGCTCGACCGACGACGGCGGCGTCCACGACGAAAGGGCAGAGGCGGCGCCCGTGGGGGGAGAAAAACTCTTCTCTGGGGCGGCCAAAGCTTTGTTGCGGTGGGGGGCGATCGCGGGCCACTCTCCCAGAGCCTGCGCAACATACTTCAAATATCGCACGATAAACTTCCGACTGTCCGTGAACTCACTTTTCTCTGCTTCACTGGGCTGCATTCCTTTAAAAGCGGCTGCCTTGGCAATGCGGTCAGCAGTACTATTACCTTCGGCCAACCTTCTCTCTTCACTGCCTTCTGAGAGGGCCTGCAAGTCTTGGTGGGCCTTGACCTTGCGCAGGCGCTGGCCGAGGGGGAACTGGCTCCTGCCAGCTAAGACCTTACACCCAGCCCACACGTTGTGCCGAGGGTACTCAGACCCTTGGTGCAGAGACAAAACTCCTTTATAATCAGAGTAAATGACTTCCACATCCCTAGAAAGAATACTGGCCGCAACAGCGGCCAAATGCTCCGCGGCACCCGAGGTTTGTAAAAACATCTGGCCGACTCGGCCACTGAAATGGGCAAAAGCTTCACCGTTACGCATACAGACAACCGCGAAACCTGCGGCGTTGAAAACATAGTGACCGTGGTTAGTGCAACTACCATCTATATACACCTCCCCTTCGCTGAAAGCCTCCTGCGGGGTGATCCCCTCCTGAGCACACCAAAACTCCCCAAACTCCAGGCCCGAACCAGGAGGATTCTCTCCACGATACTCGGGAACCAGCTGGAAACCGAGATACCGGGGCAGGGTCTGGGGAGGAGGCCCTCTTAAATTCTGAAGCTCCGCTGCCGAGAAGTGAGTGGTTCTGAGATTCTCTGTCTTCGGGCAGTAAAGTATGCGGTGGCCGAGGTTGTCCGAATGGTGGCCGCACTCGCAGCCAGTCTCGACTTCATATCCTGCTGCCTTGGCTCTGTCCATAGTCCATATACTCTGGGTGAGGAAGGCGGGGGGGGTGGGGGTTCCCTTCTGGTGGCCAAGGAGGTCTGGCGATGACAGAGCAGCACGGGCAGCAACCACATCTAACTGGGCGTTCGGGTGGCCGATCTCCTCGGCCGCCTTGGAAGCGAGCTGGCCGTGCCAGTCGAACTCCATGAGCTTTTGGAGGAGGGCGGGGGAATGTCCTGGGAGAGGGTACTCAATGCCTGAGGAGGTCACAAAAGTAAATGGTCCCTGGAATTTCCAAACGATCCTTTTAAGCGAAAGCACCGCAGCGCTGAGGGGGCCCCTGGAGGAGCCCCAAGATTTAGCAACTCTCGGGAGGATGGCCTCAGCCCAAACACGTAACTGCTGGAGGCTGGTCACGGCGAGGTGGGGGCGGGTGGCGGCGTCCCAAACAAGGCGATGCCACATAATGGCGGGGCCCAGGGCAGCTTTCCACAAGGGGTCCTTGAGGATGAGCAGAGCCAAACTGCGGCTGCGCGTCGGGCAACGGGGTCCCGCAGCAGCCAAAAACTGCGACCTAGCTGATCCCAACTGCGTGCCATTGATGCCAGTCACCTCGACTCCGAACGTGGTGGCCGCCTCGAGGCCAGTCCTATACAACTTATGAGTGTTACCCCCTGCTCTCTTGAGCATGCGAACCCTGTTAAGTCTTTTACGCATCTTATCAAGACGCTCCGAAATCTTACGCTGCTTTCTCCAGCGTCGTTGGGGCCGTCCAGCCCCAGTTTCACAACCCAGGTTAGGTCCAGACCTATCCGCGTTCGGGCCCGCCAGAGGCCCGAGGGCCGTCCTGAGTTGATCCTGAAGGGCTTGCTGGGACGCCAGGACCTGACTTTTCTTGCTGGCGATCTGGCACTTAAACTCATTGATGATGCAGTCTGCCATGGACCTGGCAGCAATATTGAGCTGGCTGACGATGAGGCTGTAACTGCGGCCGTGGCACTGGAGCAGCAGATCATCTATAAACATCGCGAGCCTGATATGACAATGCGCCTGCGTCCACACGTCGAGCGGGGCGAGCACATACATTTGCACAAGATAGGTGGCCCAACTGCATCCTGCGGCTATGCCCCTCCAAGGCTTGCCTACACTGACTGCACAATCTTGTAGTGCAACTATGCGTTCACTGGCATATTGAGATAGTATGATACGCAATAAACAACACGGAAAACCTGATTCAACAGCACGATAAGCAAGACAAGGCCGATCAACATGTTCGTAGTAGTTAGATAAATCGTAGAGAACTTGGGCACTATATTGTTGATCTTTGTCAGAGCTGTTGAACTCGCATTCCAAGGATTGTTTGTATACGAATTCCACTATGGAGTGACCAGCCTGATGAGCAAGGTACGGCCTGCGGTGGTGTGCCTCCCACTCTCTGGCCGCTGACCTCCTGAGCCTAGCCCAGACTCTGTACAAAGCTGGAAGCATGCCAATGGACCTGAAAGAGGGCTGGCTGGCTGGGGCATCATGCTGTTTCAACTTCATCATCAGAGTCGATACGATGCCTTGGAGCTGGGTTGGCATATGTCCAATCTTTTCCAGCAGGCCAATAAAATCGCAGACAATCTCTGCCTGTTCGTTACTCAACATACTGAAATGCCTAGGGTGGAACCCGTCCCAGGTAGTGGCAGTGGCATGGGGAAAACTGTTCGCAACCTGTCGTAATCTCTTGGGGCTGACGGGGCCCAGGGCAATTCGGTCTTCTCTGTCAGGAACTAGCTGAGGTGGGGTATCCTGGGAAACCTGCCATATTTTTGCCAGACGATCTGCTTCAGCCTGCAATATATGCTGGGGCCTGCCAGAATACTGCGACTTAAATGGAACTGACGAGGGCCTCCAGGCCTCCAAACGCTTGGTCCATCTGTGAGCCCATCCCATTCCTCCCTTCATGTTGTCCTGAACCCAATCCCTCCATGCCTTCCCGTCTGCAGCGTTCTCTGCCGCCTGCTCCTGATGCAGGAGCTTGGTGACGTGCTCTAGCAGCTCGTCCAGAACCTGGATCGCCAGCGCCTGGTTCAGGGCACCAGCGCTGAAATCAACGTGCAACAGACCTGCAGCAACTCGAATCTCTTGCAGCCCCTCCTTGGGGGACACGACGGTGGTGAACAGCTCAGGGCAATCCTCTAAGCTATCGAGAGCGTCCTGAAACTCAGCGAGATTCCAGTCCTGAACACATCTATGGAAATCTTGAATCCTATTGATGAGCCATCTCAACGGGCCCGTGTAGGCCACCCATTTGGCCCTACTCCTAGCAGCCTTGGCCTCAGCGGGGACCATAAGAACCTGAGGGGGGGGTGGGCCCTGGGGTACTTGCTAGGCTTGAGGGGGGCGTTAGTTTTCTTACTGATTGTAGCTTCCAAGTCCTGGGCCAAGTTGAAATACACGTGGTCCAGGAGCACCGACTGCTGTTGATCGCTGAGCGGCCGTTGAGCATCATCGATCAATAGTGAAGCGTACTCCAATGCAGCAGCTGACTGGTGCCAACTCACTTCTGGCAATTGCGGGCCCACAGGGATACGTGTGGGTAGCTTCTGGGGCCTATGCAGCGTGGGGATATTAAAGTTATTCTCAACTACAATATCTAGCAGCACAGGTCTGTGAGGGGAGAGAGGATACGAGGAAAGAGTACGGGGGTTACTGAGCCACGGCGAGAGGCCTTGGCTAGACAGGAAATAATCTAGCGTGGGTTTGGTCTTCTTGTTTCGGTAGGTGGCGGTCGGCGGCACAAGCAGGGTCATCGTGGACCTGGACAGAAACTCCGCTTGGGCCAACCTAGCGGGGGCTAGGTTAAAATCCCCCGCAACCAAAACTGGATGGGTCAAATCATCCTGGAGTTGGCCTATGGCGGCCAGCAGTTTTAAATTGGTCTCGGAGAGACCAGCAGCAGCCTGAAAGTAGGTACAACATATGGCGAACTTCGGGACCCCAGGAAGTTCGAGCAACACCCCCGATAATCGAGCGGGGTCGAAAGCGGCAGAAAAAGTGATTGGCTGGACCCCCAGGTTCAAGCCATCCCGAATCAAAATCGCAACTCCCGAAACCAACTCATTATTCTCACTCGTGGCTGCAGGCGTGATGTAAGCCAGCCACCCCTGGGCCGAGCACCATTGCATCTGACGCACAATGCTATCCCCTTCGGCAAGCTTACACTCCTGAGCACAGATGATCGTGACTGCACTAGACTGCGGCGAAAGAACAAACTTGCGCACAGCAGGCCAGCAGGAACCATTGATAGTAGCGATCTTATAAGTGTTACCCTGGCGGCTTCTGGCCCTGGGTGGCCGCGAGAGACGCAGCCTCGGCCGCCGCCTTGACCCTCTTGGTCTCGGGGCCTGACTCACTCTGGATCTTGGCCATGCCCTGGGCGGCCTCGGACAGCGCAGCAGCCGCACGGCGGCGGTCTTCAGACGTGTCCATGGCCTGCGCCTCTGCCATGGTATCCAGCTCCTTGTCGTCGGCAGGAGTGGGGACGTGCTGGCCTGGGATGGGCACGGGCGTCTGACTTGCCTGGCCGTCATCAGGGCTCTCTCCCACTGCAGCGAAGCCGTCGATGACCCCGCGCTGGGCCGCCTCCGCAGGCGGGCCGCCACCTGCTGGTGCGCCCGAGGCCTGGGATGCGACATGTTGCTGCTGCAAGGTGTCGAACATGGCGGCCAGCTCCGATACTTTATCTCGTAGTTCAGGAGGGGCCAGTCCTCCTTGTGGCATTCTGGCGGATATAACTCCTTGAATGGTGGTGAGCAAATCTTCAGCTTTGGATGCCTCATACGCAGCCGCCTGGGTGGCCGCATTGAGCTGTGTCTCCAGCGTTTGCACTTCTTTTGAATTAGCTTCGATCTCCTCGACCAGCTTGCCGTGATATTCACTTGCCTCGACAATAGTAGTGACCAGCTCGCTGGCCTCCTGCTTCTGCGACTGCAACCTCTGGCGCATCACCTGGAGCTGATCTGACAAGGATTGTGCTTGCTGCTCCAGGCTCTTGGCTGATAGCGCCTGCGCCTTGGCGAACTTGAGCTTGCCCAGCGCCGCCTTGTGCTCCTCTCCATCTGGCTTCCACTTCTTCCAGAAGGTGACTTGAGCTTGGGCCAGGGCGACTGGGTCGTCAGCGGGAACTGCATCCTCGAAGGTGACCACTCGGCCGCCTCCACGCCCCAGGCCTGGTGGGCGCTCTGGACCGCGGGAGCCTTTCCTCCAGCGTCCTGGCTTGGCGGGCTCCTCCTCGACGTCAGGCCGAACATCCTGGGGGCCACCTCCACCACCTTGGGGTCTAGTTGGGGGACCATGATCCCCGCCCTGCTTGAAACGGCTGCCACACTGCATGCAATGACGAGAATTCGTCGAGCACCAAGCCCAGCCCTTGCAACCTCGCTTCGAGCAGACCATGTACTTCTTCTGCTGCTGGGCGGGCATCTTCTGATGATGGCGGCGCGCTGGCGCACGCGCACGAGAGGCCCTATGGCAGCACTGATGCGGGTCGTGATTGTGCCTCTGCCTGGGGCTGACCAGGCGGCACGGGGGCAGAGCAAACAAGCTTGGGCCCCAGCACCCAGGGCCTGCCCTGGATGGCAATGCTGAGACCTGCACCTCCCGCGGTGTGCTCAGGTCTTGAGCCAGGAGGAGGAGGAGGAGGAGGGGGAGAGGAGGAGGAGGAGGAAGGAGTGGAGGGAGGAGGAGGAGGAGGAGGAGGAGGAGGGGAGGAGGAGGAGAGGAGGAGGAGGAGGAGGAAGGAGGAGAGGAGAGGAGGAAGGGGGGAGAGAGGAGAGGAGGAGGAGGAGGGAGGGTAAGGAGGAGGATGAGGAGGAGGAGGAGGAGGAGGAGGAGGAGGAGGAGGAGGAGGGGGACCTCCCCATCCTCCCGTCTCCCCCGTCCTACATATGGTAGTGGTGGTGGAAGATTTGCCCATCAGACGAGGTCCCCGAGCGCCACCTGAGCCGCAGCATACCCCGCAGCCGCGGCGTCCTCCAGCAGCGGCCTGGCGCCATCGGGGCACCCCTCGCGCAGCAGCAGGCTGCCGAGGCGGTGCATGGAGGTCCAGCTGCCGCCGTCCGCGGCCCTTCGGTAGTACACCTTGGCCTGTGCGACGTCGTGCGCCGCCTCCAGTGCACGGTTTCACCCGGGGACGTAAGCGACCCGAGAATGAGGAGGAGGAGGAGAGAGAGAGGAGGAGGAGGAGGAGGAGGAGGAAAAGGAGGAGGGGGATGGGAGGGAGGGGAGGATGGGGAGGTGGAAGGAGGGGGAAGGTGGAGGAGGAGAAGGAGGAGAGGAAGGGGGGGGTGGGGGAGGGAGGAAGAGAGAGGAGGAGGAGGAGGAGGAGGAGGAGGGGAGGAGGAGGAGGAGAGGAGGGAGGCAGGAGGGGGAGGAGGAGGAGGAGGAGGAGGGGGAGGAGGAGGGGAGGAGGGTGCTAGTAGGAGGAGGAGGAGGAGGAGGAGGAGGAGGGGAAAGAGGAGGAGGACGAGGAGGAGGACGAGGAGGAGGACGAGGAGGAGGACGGGTCGCCAAAGCCCTTCGGAGAAACCCTCCAGCCTCCAAGTCCATGCCGTAGCGGTATGACGCCTGTACGTTGCCAGCGTCGGCCAGAGGCTTGTACCAGCTGGTGCCGCCGGAGGCCACGTCTGCAGCGGGCTTCAGGAACAGTATCAGCGAGAAGCGCTCCTCGTCGCCTCTCACTTCCACGCCGTGGGCAAGGTCCCAGCCGTGCACGGCAAATGTGCCGGCGGTGCGCATGTCCAAGAACTGGCGGGTGTCCACATGCGCCCCAGGCTGCACGTAGAGGCCGGAGTCCACCTTGGGAGGGGTCAGCGAACACACCGCGCTGACCTTTGCGTGGTGATCAAAATGCAGCGGGTGGTCGCGCCGCTCACCAGGGGCGTAGCGCCGAATCCAGGACTGGTACACCATCAGGTCCTGCTCCCCTTTGAGCTTGGCGACCCGCGCCAGGAGCTCCTCGATCGGCCTGGCAAGGATCTGCTGCAACTCCATGGCGTCGGGCTTCCACAGGCCGTCGTCCACCAGCTGCAGCTCGTAGCTTGGCTGCCTGTCTACGGAGTCCTGCCCACGGTTGAACTTCGAGCCGAGCCGCCGCGCCTCGGCCAGGATCGCCTGGAGCTCCTCGGGTCTGATCATGTCCCTCTCGAGGCTCAGGCCCAGTGCCTGGAAGTCCAGCGCCGGCGCCGCCAGCGCCTCGGTCGCCTGCGCGGCGGCGGCGGTCGGGCACCGGCCAGCCGCGCAGGGGGCCGCGCGCAGGGGTGCCTGCGCGGGTGCCCCAACGAACGCCCGCCGCAGCAAGGCGCTGGCGCCCAGCGCCACGGCCGCGGCGGCACCGCGGCGGTGCCCCCGAGGGCCGGCGCGGCGCGCCATGGCAGGACCGCTAGCCGCGGGGCGGAGGGGGGGGGGGCTCGGCGGCCTTGAGCCGTAATGGCTACGGAGGAAGTCTGCTGGCCTTTTGAGGAGTTTTCTGGGCCTTCCCCGAAGACAGAAGCCACCCCTCAGAAGGCGCGAGGGCCTCTGAGAAGTCCCGCCGCCTGCCGAGGAGGTCTTCTCCTTCTCGCTTCCCCCCTTCGCTCGCCGCCGAAATATAGCCATCGTAGCCGCTGGGTATCCTTTGCAAGTACAACATAGCCGGAATACGCAGGACATCAACATTGCATCTCCGAGCCCGTCGTTGAGGGTGCCGTCGCCGCGGGGGTACTTCGGTGGTCCCTCAGTGTTGTCAGTGGGTCCTCTTCCTCCTCCTCCTCCTCCTCCTCCTCCTCCTCCTCCTCCTCCTCCTCCTCCGCCTCCGCCTCCTCCTCCTCCTCATCCTCCTCCTCCTCCTCTTCCTCCTCCTCCTCTCCTCCGCCTCCGCCTCCGCGTCCGCCTCCGCCTCCTCATTCTCTCCACCCTCCTCCCTCCTCCTCCTCCTCTTCCCTCCTCCTCCTCCTCCTCCCTCTTACCTCCTCCGTCTCCCCTCCTCCTCCCGTCTCCCTCCTCCTCCTCCTCCTCCTCCCCTCGCCTCCTTCCCGTCCTCCCACCTCCCCCTCCTCTTCCTCCACCTCCTCCTCCTCCTCCTCCTCCTCCACCTCCTCCTCCTCCTCCTCCTCTCCTCCCCTCCTCCTCCTCCTCCTCCTCCTCCTCCTCACCTCCTCCTCCACCCCTCCCTCTCCTCCTCTTGCGTCCTCCTCCTTCTCCTCCTCCTCCCTCCTCCTTTCCCCACCCCCTCCTCCTCCTCCTTCCCCTCCTCCTCCTCCTCCTCCTCCCCTTCTTCTCCCTCCTCCTCCTCCTCCTCCTCCTCCTCCTCCTCCTCCTCCTCCTCCTGCCCTCCTCCTCCTCCCCCTCCTCCTTTTCCTCCTCCTTTTCCTCTTCCTCTGCCCTGCCCCTAGTGCAGTTCCTTCTGCTGCCGTGCCTCCTCTTGCTGTCCGCGCGGGGCAGAAGGGAGAGGCACACCTACGCAGGGTGCAGGCAGGAGAAGGGAAAAGAGAGGGGGGGAGGGAGTAAGAGGCACGAGGAGACGGAGGATGAGGAGGATGAGGATGAGGAGGATGAGGAGGAGGATGAGGATGAGGAGGATGAGGAGGAGAAAAGAGAGAGAGAGAGAGAGAGAGAATAAAAAAAACAGAAAAAAGTGTTTGTCGCGCCATAGAACGTGAAGGCCTTCGTAGAGCAAGGGTGCTCAGTCGCAGAAACGCCCGCGGGAACTAGCCAGCACGAGCCCGATTGATGCCACAGATCATGCGGTCTGCTCCTTCTGCTCCTCCCACGCAACCCACAGAGACGGTGCGATGCACGAGCCTATGGCGCTGCGCAGAGGCGAGCGAACTGTCGAGAGCAGGCGGGCGCAGTGCCAGCGGTAGTTGAATGAACTGGAGACTGGGAGGAAGAGGAGGAGGAGGAGGAGGAGGAGGAGGAGGAGGAAGAGGAGGAGGAGGAGGAGGAGGAGGAGGGGGGGGAGGAGGAGGGGGAGGAAGA